ACCGCCTGTTCCTTGCAAATACTAACTTTAAGCATAAGGAAAAACATCTTTTAACATGGCGACCCCCTAATTCGTCCCAACGTTGGACCCAAATAGATCACATCGCTATCAGCCACCGATGGAGGGGCTCGATAGAAGACTGTCGCTCATTCTGGAGCACATGCCTAGATTCAGATCATGCTCTAGTGCGAGCGCGTATTTGCTTGCGTCTTACTGGACGTAGGAAAGACGCTGCAAGGAAACCTCTTAGGGCCTACTTAATGATAGTCAAGCTAAGAATATATTTCAGGAACAACTAGGAAAACAGTTAGGCAGCCATGTATGTGATGCCCACCCCGAGGCAGCATGGAACGATATCCGAAAAGCTGTGGAGACAGCAGTGATATCTGCTAGTAAGGTAAACCGTAAAGTTAGGGAGCAACACTGGATCTCAGCAGCATCTATCGCACTGATAGATGCTCGAAAACTCATTCCACCTGGCTCTGAACATAATGAAGAGCGGAGTCAGCTTAAGCGCAAGCTGACAAGAAGTCTACGCAATGATCGCGAACAGTGGTGGGTAGCGAAAGCAAGAGAGATGGAAAAGGCAGCGGCAATAGGTAATAGCAGACAATTGTTTAGACTCGTTAAGGAAACCGGAATTAGGAACCCGACCGTTAGCGAAACAATCTCAGAGAAAGATGGACATATTATTCATTCTCAATCCAGGAGATTGGATCGATGGGCAAAACACTTTAGGGATCAGTTCAACTGGCCTTCAGCCACACTTCGGTTTCCCACGATCTCTAGTCAACCTGAATGGCAAGTTAATGTAAGTCCTCCGTCCCTTTACGAAGTTGAAAAAGCCATAGGAAATCTGAAACGAGGGAGAGCAGCAGGCCCTGACAGGTTTACTCCTGAGATTTTTAAGGATGGTGGTCCAGTATTAGCAATGAGATTAACTGAGGTCTTAGGTAGAATTTGGGAACTGGACGTAATCCCATCTGACTGGTCTCAATCACTGATTGTGCCAGTTTTTAAGAAAGGACAAAAGTCCTCTTGTGATAATCACAGAGGAATCAGTTTGACTAATATAGTGTCTAAAATATTAGCCTCAATAATACTTCGACGCCTAACTAAAGCTCGTGAAGAGCAGACTAGAGAAAACCAGGCTGGTTTTCGACCTGGACGTGGTTGTATCGATCAGATATTCACACTACGTCAGGTTCTAGAACACAGACACACATTCAGACGCCCCACAATGGTAGTATTTCTCGACCTTAAGGCGGCATTCGACTCCGTTGATCGTGAGGTTCTATGGCAGTGTTTGTCACTGAAAGGAGTACCAAAGAAGTACATTAACCTTATAAAGGCTCTCTACTCGAACACAACTGGTAGAGTGAGAGCTTATGGCGAACTGTCATCAGAATTGATTACCTCAAGTGGTGTTCGTCAGGGCTGTCCACTCTCTCCATTCTTGTTCAACTTTGTCATTGACGTACTTTTAGAGATAACACTCTCCTCATCTAAATTTACAGGGGTTGAACTTCTACCAGGAGGTTCACTTGTTGACTTAGAATATGCAGATGACATAGTTTTATTTGGTGAAGACGCTGACAAAATGCAGAGTCTTCTGACCACTATAAGCAACAATGCAAGCATGTTCGGGATGCGATTCTCTCCCTCGAAATGCAAAATGTTGCTTCAGGATTGGGTTACATCGACACCCGAGCTAGTGATAGGGAGTGAAGTAGTTGAGTGTGTCGACCGCTTCACTTATCTTGGAAGTCTCATCAGCCCTTGTGGTCTGGTGCGTGACGAAATCTCAGCACGGATACAGAAGGCTCGACTAGCTTTTGCCAACCTGCGTCATTTATGGCGTAGGCGAGATATCCGTCTATCAACCAAAGGACGTGTTTACTGTGCAGCAGTTCGTTCCGTCCTACTTTATGGCAGTGAAACATGGCCGGTAAGAGTAGAGGATATCCGTAGGTTACTAGTATTTGATCATAGGTGTCTTCGAAACATTGCTCGTATATCATGGGACCATCGAGTAAGTAACACAGTTGTTAGGAAACGGGTACTAGGTAAAGATGGCAAATCAATTGATGACGTAGTGAAACTTCATCAGTTGAGATGGCTGGGACACGTGTTACGTATGCCCAACGACCGACTGCCTCGACGTGCTATGTTCAGTGGTATAGGAGTAGGTTGGAAGAAAGCTAGGGGCGGCCAAACCAAAACATGGCACAAGTCCATGAAGTCACTGACAAGTGAACTAAGTCATGTTGGTAGGTGTAGACTACCTGGTTGGGGACCGCGAGATGACAGCAACCGATGGTTAGAGACCCTGAATGACATGGCTCAAAATCGTTTGCAATGGCGCAGGTGCATCCACTCTCTGTGTTCTCCCAAACTCTAATCTTCTGAATTCTTCATGTCCCTTTTTTCCTCTTTCCAAATTTCTTTCACTGGATTATACTCTGTAAATAACATCTCCAAACCCTAATCTTCCCGATTACTGCTTATACTCTTATTACCTCAACCACTACGGGATTTGAATCGACAAGTGCATCTCTGTGCTAATGTGGTGTGGCAACTCGAACTGATGTACGTACGTACGAAGTTCTACGTTGTTACTGACTGATTGACTGACTCAAGTTTAGGACGAACGAACACTGTATACAAAGTCAAAAACGTCTTAGTGTCGACATGACTAAAAGCCCTACGTATTGACCATAAGGTTCTAAACGCTTTGGCGGCTATTGCACGGTAGTGTGCAGTAGTCTTTAAGTCTTGACTAACGATAACTCCTAAGTCATTATATGTCTGGACGACAGGTAGCTCAGTGTTATTCATCGTGTATGTATCTGTGCCTTGATGACCGATATGCATCACAACACACTTGGAAGTATTTATCGGCAACTGCCATGTTTGAGACCATTCAGATAACTTCTTCAGGTCATTTTGAAGTTCTAAGCTATCACTCTTACATCGTATCGTTCTCCATATCTTGACATCGTCAGCATATAGCAAGACCGATGATGATAGGAGACAAGGAAGGTCATTTACATACAAGAGGAATAGCACTGGCCCCAAAACTGTACCCTGGGGCACTCCACTAAGCACAGTTTCCCAGCTAGATAACTTTGAGTTCACCCTTACTCTTTGTTGATGCCCAACTAAGAAGTCTTTTATCCACATCAATAAATTACCTCCAATCCCGACATGTCTTAACTTATATAACAGCCGGTTGTGCGGAACTTTATCAAAGGCTTTACTGAAATCAATGAAGGTGACGTCTACAGGTAGCTTTTGGTCCTTAAGAGCACACCAGCTTTCACGAGCCACTAATAAGTTAGTGAGACAAGAATAACCTATTCTGAAGCCATGCTGCTTCTCCGAGAGGATCCGGTTTTTATCGAGATACTTAAACAGCTCCTTCCGAATAATCTTTTCTAATATTTTAACAACCACACTAGTTAGGCTAACGGGGCGGTAGTTCTCAGGTTTGTGTTTCGTGCCTGTTTTGAAGACAGGACTTACTATGGCGTTTTTCCAATCTTTCGGTAAGCGACCCTGCGTAACGGATAGGTTAAAGCATGTACTTAAAGGGTTCGCAACGAAGTTAGATAATTCCTTCAGTAGCCTAGGATGTAATTCATCGGGCCCCGTGGATTTACCTGTGTCAAGCTTATTTAGCAGATCAAAGACATCGAGTTCTTTAATGGTCACGCTATCCAGTGTATGTATGGGGGGATCTGTATACGCTGACGAGAAGGGCGCTTCTATGGTATACACGTTGCTAAAGTAGTTCGAGAACGCTTGAGCCTTACCAAAGTCGTCCTCCACTAATGATGAAGCAGTACTGTCTCCCCATAGAGCAGGAATATTTCCTTTTCTCCTTGTCCTTTGGTTTATATAGGAATACAAGCGTTTAGGACATTCTATGGATTCCTTAACAAGTTTTTCTTCGTACAATTTTCTAGACTTACGGAGGGTCGAGGCACAAGTGTTCCGAGCCTTTCGATACTGAGATTTTGACTCATCAGTCCCCAGTAACCTAAATCTATCCCACGTTTTCCTCTTCTTACGGAGAAGGATACGGACCTCCCTACTGAACCATGGTGGTGAGTTTTTCGGCCCCTTTGGTATAGTCCAAGGGATGTGAGGTGTGGTAACTTTTAAGTATGATTTTCGAAATGTGTCCCAGGCCGTTTCAGTGGAGGACTCTGGGTCTATTGTCCAATCTATTAACGATGCTGAGTGCATGATGTCTGGTATGTTTGCTTTCCAGACGTTGGGTCTGGACTGGACTGACGCGTCCTCATGACTGGCAGTTATATGGAAGTCGAAAGTTAAGACTGCGTGGTCACTTTTACCTAAGGGTGGCATATGGTGGAGGTTCGCAACATCATCCTCATAGTGAGTCAGTATAAGATCTAATAAGGATGATTCAGTGTCCGGGTCGTACCTAGTCGCTTCTTTCACATGTTGCACTAGGGCACATGTGATAACCGCATCAACTAGTTCCTGCTCGAAGGAATTTTCTGACGATTCAGTTCGCAGATTTTCCCAGTCTACCATTGGTGCATTAAAGTCCCCTAGGATTAGACATCGACCACTTTGGGACCAAGTATTGAGACTGCTTAACAGGATCTCATTTGCCTCACAGCTTGGACTGCGATAGACCAAACCAATCAGCAGCTCTTGTCCCTTGCATTTTAAGCGAAGACTAACTAATTCACACGTCCCACTCTCATGGGATACACTATCGATAATGGTAAATGGGATAGCATTCCTAATGAATAGAGCTACTCCCCCTCCTTTGCGCTTTTGTGTTCTGTCGGCCCTTACTAACGTAAAGCCCTCGAAATCAAGTTCTATACTATCTATAGCCTGTGTCAGCCAGGTTTCTGTTACTGCGATTATATCTGGCTTTATAGAGTCAATCTGCACACCTAGTTCCGATCGCTTATTAAGTAAGCTTCGTGCATTGGTGTAACAGATCCGAAGCCTGTTTAAGTGCCTTCGTGCTTCACCCAGAGTGGCTTCGGCATCATTCTCTGTCGAAGTCTTACAACCCGAAAATTTACAATTTTCAGGTCCTTTTCGCCAGCGTCTAACCTATGTTGTAGTTCTTTCTCGGCTTCCCGTCTTTTAACACGGTCTGCCAACGGTAGGTCCTTTCGGATAAAGACTCCCGAACCCTTTAATTTGTGTCCATTTTGTAAAATCAGGTCACGTTCGTTTGAAGAGCCGAATACTACTTTAAGCAGTCTGGAATGATTTGGTTTCGAGTCCGTTAGACTCCCTAGTCTATACACCTTTAGCAAGGTGACTCGGGTCATATTTTGAGGCATGAGTTGATTAAGCAGCTGCCTAATCAGTACAATGTCATGCTCAAAACGAGCTTTAGGTTCAGAGCTATCGCTCTCCTTAATTCTATGAAAAATAGCTGATCTGTCGCTATGATCAGCTTTCGATTTTTCAACCACTTTTACGGGGGCAGGTTTCCCTTTTATATCAATACTTTTCTTCCTTACAACCTTTACCCATTCGTTAACGCTGCTGGTAGAAGCAATAGCAGTTGCGTCAAAACTAGTGTTGGGTTTTGGGGGGTTGTCGACGACCTGAGGGGTCGTGTTATGTTTACCATTTGAAACCGATCGAGCCTTGCGATTGCGGCTCCTAGGTGTTTCCTGTTGGATCCCATCTGGGAGACGGGGAACAGAAGACCCTACTTTTCTTGAGCTTTTTTTTAAGGCAGACCCCTTTGGAGACTGCTTTTCCTTCTTCGACGGGCGTGAGTCATCGATCACCGGACTCACCTTAGTTTCCTTCACATTGATTTGCGTGTCAACAGATCGAGTGCTGTTTGACGCGTTCCGACTATGCTTGTTGAAACACTTCTTGGCAGCATCAACCAGTGAGATAGCCTCGGTTAACAAGCTGTTTGCATCCGAGCAGCACTGTTGACAAAGCCACACACAACCCTTCTTACTGAACCGTTTGAAAGCAGCAGGCGTTAAGTTCGTGCAAACTTCGTGGTACCAGCCTTTGCACTCGTCGCACTGCATGCCACTTTCAACAGGATAACGACAACCCGGACGTTGGCAACTGCTTTTTTTACACTGTCCGGTCATTTAGGAGGGGTTTTTTCAATATGCGATGATACCCAGAAACAAAAAAATTATCAATGACCAAAAAAAGTGAAGAGCTGTAGATTGCTAGGACCAAAAGTACTAACAGATACAGTTGAAAAAGTGGTACTAAAGAGTACCAACGACAAAACAGTAAAAACGATACTTTAGTCGAATACTTTAACTGAAATAAATTCAATTAAAGTGAAAAACAGTAGTCTTGATACGTAATAAACGATCAAAACAATGAAATTTACTCAGCGAGGAAAAATACCACTGTCCTTTTTAAATAGCGCGGTCAAACAATGCAATTACAATAATAATCCTAATAAACTTTGTTAGACTTAGTGACAGTAGGGCTAAGTAAACAAAGATAATAAATAGTTTTAACAAGGAAACTAGTGATCGTTTGGCTGTTAATAGCTTAAATATTCATCAAAAGACAGATACGGAAATGATAATTGGGAGAGGCTCAGCATGATAAGATGAAATGTCTAAATTGCTATCAAATGTAATCAATAGAATGATAGGAACAGATATAAATCCTGTGTTTCCACCGTCTAACATAGGTAACTCAGCTTCCGTTGTAACTAAGACATAAACAAAATCAGAGTCATAGATTATACAGTGTTAGTCTGCTCAACAGTACTGGTGTTAACGAAAACACGTTTCTTACGTGCAGTCTTAGGTTTAGTAAGACGTTTGTTCCAAGAGATTTGTAGTTCCAGGGCCAATGTTGATCACATATGTGATCTGATGGATATATATCCATCAGATTTCTTTTAGTTTGTGCGGAGATATCGATATATGAACAGGTTAGTTTTTAATCGAAGGGCGAAGGTTTACAATCAGTTACCACGTGTAGGACACTTAAACGGACTAATTTCTAAACCAATGCTATCAATTGGTATTTTGTCAGAAATACTGAAACTGTAAATCCACATAGGCCTCTGAATCTTGCAAGTCTAATTGTTTAGTATTTATTATTTCAAATACATGTCGAAACTATGAGTGATAAGCAAACAAAATCTATGGAAGAGGGTATTGATTCATGTGCTTAAAAATCTTCAGGATGGATTAGAATATTCCTGTATATACACGGAGTAGAAAACGAGGGATCTTGACAGCAAAAGCATTGAGATAGGTCACAGGGTTGGTTTTATTAGGAGCTTCTAAGTGTACATTTAAAAATACTTTGTGTTCATGAATCGACAACTGCACCTGTGATAATATGGTATGGCAGCTCCAACCGATGTTCGACGTTGTTACTGACTGACTTGGTGTTCACCGTGAGTCTGGCCTAACAATCCTTCATCTACTTCAAAACCTGCAATGGTATAACAATTTACTAGTTATGTTTTGCATTGTTACTTGTGTTCCTATTTATCACTGTGTATTTGTTCAACATTTTTCCAATGAAGTATGTTTCAAGGCATACGTGTTATCAGACTGTTCAAATGTGTTGTGAAAATGCATCACATGTCTCTGGTTAATTCCGTCTTCTCATTTCTCCCCACGCATCAACTAAGCGCTATGTCTTTCGCACTCCAGTAGCTTCCTTGGAATTCCTTGTGTTGGCAAATTAAATGGAGCTGTTTCTGTGGCCATACATTATTTAATTGTTTCGAAATAAAAATATAGTAAATTGCTTGCAACTCATAAATATTTTTTGTACTCGGTTTTTAACCACACTCTGAGAGCTAGATATACTACTGAGGTGCGTAAACAGAAGTATATATGGTTCAAAACTCCTACTTATTTGTTAAAATTCAAGTCCTCTAACCATTAAGTCACAGATCAAACATTGACTTCAAAAAAAAGTAATGAGAGGTTCGTGTTATCAACCAGTATCACTTACCATCTTTTTTTATTTATCGTTGTGTTTAGTAAATCAAACTCGTCATGGTTGTTGAGTATCACTTTCCTTTTTCAGATAGTTTTCTATTCAAGTACATTTAGACCTATTATGCTGTTTACTACTAGCTTTAATAGACCATAGTTGTAAGGCAAAACGGAACGTCTTACTGATTTTTATACCCATCCATCGATGGGCAGTCAAACATTGCACTGCTCTAAAACTTGCACGCACTAAGGAGCATTTAGTTAAGCTTAGTGAATAGCATTCACTAAACCGTTATGAATATGTGCAAAATTGATAAGAATACTTCAACATGTTAGTCTCAAGTATATTCATGAATAAAATCGTCATATATCTTTATATTTTTAGACTAATTGATTAATAAATTCAAATGAACGGTACTACTCAGCCTGACTTTAAAGAATTCATCAAATTACACGATGATCAACTAAGAGCAAGTGGAATTCCTGCTCACTTTTGGCGTAGACTACACGAGAAACTTTTACATGAGGTGTTGTTGTATTTGATTTTGTTACTTTGCATAAATAATATTTTTTACAGATATATGATGCTAACACAAGTGTTATGATGCAACAGATTGAATATACAAATGACGACGAAGGTGATAATGAAATTGGAAGCGAAGAGTTGACTGTTAATCGTGACTGGGATATTTTAGTTTGTAGTGATCAACTTTTAGTATCAGATAGTAATAAGTATGCAAAATCTAACAAGGATATGATAAATTTTGACAAAATTATTCTAGTATATTTCTCGTTGATCATGCGTGGACTTTTGATGTACAATCTATGAAAGAGTGCTTACTTCAACTTCCTAGTCTCTTAGAACGAATGGCTTCATTAATGAATATAAATACTTTAAATCAATTAAATGAGGATATCGCTTCAAATATTTGTAAAAATGTATGGAAGTAAGTTGCTTGTTGTTTTCCTACATTCTCATGATATACGTTCCTGTAACTGATTGAGATTTCATGTCCATTTGTCTTTCCCGACCCTCATGTACATCACCTAGCCTAACCTTTGCGTTACACCCCTCTGTCCATGTGTCATTCTTCGATCTCTAATCTCGAGCGAACACAACAGCTTCCGTCGCGAATGTTAAGGTTTTCAATGGTACCGTTTTCCATAGTTAGACCTCAGTAACATCGGATGCTTGATTGCTCTCAATCTGCGACACATGATGACTTCCGCTGGTGATCGCCAATTTGTTAGTGCATCGTTTAGTGTAGCTCTGTAAACTAACAAGAAACCTTGAGATATGATGTGTGTTCGCCTCCTGTAATTTCAATAACACTATTAATCCTCTGGAGTTTCCCCGAAGGGGTTCGAATCTCACTGTTGTCGCCACTATTATGGAGAAAGTTTTTGATTATCTGATCAGAGAACTTTCGACTTTTATAATTTATGAGTTCAGTGCTGGTCGACAGATAAATGCGATTATGTAATATGACCAAGTAATGGCTGTTTGCAAGACCATTATTAATATAAGCTCTCTAATGATTAAAAATCAAAGACAAGACCACTAGCTAGATAAGTAGATTATTTATTTATTATTATTATTTGAACATATAAATATTGGTACAAGGGGGCACCGAATACATATGCGCCACACAAGTCACTTGATTTATGTGTAGGCTGTGATACTGCACAGGTACCCAGACCGAAGTAGGATATTTTCTTTGAGGGCCACACCCGGAGCCTTCGATCCGAAGGTTTGATCCACAAAGCAGTGGAGTAGTGTCAGGAAATGCAGTTCCATTGTAACCGGTGACCAACAATAGGTTCATATGCCATATGTTTCCTCAGGATCCTGTATCCCATTTGCACTATTGGTTTTGAATCAGGGTTTTTCAACTCCCCTAGGTGAACTTTTCGTGTCTACCAACCCGGTTGAAGCGCTGGACATTCGCTTTTTGTCCCCTCAATTTCCTACACAATGCCCTCGCAGCGAGAAGGCAGTGATTAGGACTTCCTTGGCATAATAATCTAACATGCTTATATACAGAATTTAAATATCTAATTAATAAAATGTCATAGCCGATTGGAGGAAATTATCTTGTGGTCATTCATTCTCTAATCAAGTAAGATTTGGTTGTTGGACTTAATTTTCAGACATCGTAATAGGCTCAATGCCAAGTATACTAGTCTGTAGCTGGTTGGTGGATTAATAATAATTTTCATATTTGCTAGGAATCTATTTAACTTTTCTAAACCATGTTTTGTCTATTCTCACTTGGAAGATATTGTCGATATTACAAATTATCAACACAGGAGAACATGTCATTGTTATCACAAGTACCTGAGTTACAACAAATAATGTGGTATGTATTGGATGAAGTTGGATCACGTATTCAACATTCTGATGAGCCTACAGGTATTTAGACAATATATATATATGAGTGTGACTACTATTATGTAAATTTAAATTGATAAATTTTTACTAAGCATTTATAAAATAAACAAAGTCAACTGTTTGAGGAAATAATTTTTCCCAAAAATTTTCACCCAAGTTCATATATTTTCAGAACAAAGGCCAATACGAACCATGCATGAAAGTTTTAAATCAGTCAGTATTAAATTTTTGGAAAATGATAACTGTGGGTTTTCATGCCGGTTTTGACTTAAGTGCATAGAGTATAAGTGGTTACGTAAGAGGGATAATACAAGGCGTATGTATATATTCGGTGTTTAGAGGTCGTCACTGAAAAACTCTGGACTTGGTTTTCGTACTGTTCAATACTCGTAAACAAAGCATATACCGCAATATTCAGGGGACTGATACTCTTCATGGGATTTGAGCCCACATCTCTCGTCCTCACAGTTTTGATACTACCACTCAGGTGTTCGTACCGTGGCTGAAGTGTAGCTGAGATATTAACATTGATTAATTACCCCGCAACATCTTACAGTACATGCGATGTCAAGTCACTTATACTAATGATCTCATTACGAATTGATCAATAGAATTCGGTCAACACAAAAAATGGCCTAGATAAATATGACAATGGTCATTACGTAGTAATCAGTGGCGTAAAGTAACATGCAACTTGACAGTACTAAACGTCTATGTATAGTCTTAATATTGACTGGTTAAATGTGCTTATTTAAGAGACTTAATCGATATTTATTTAATTAATTTCGGGCTCTAGTTTTGATCATATTCTGTCTTCTAAGACTGCTCTTTACAAATAACAAATCTCAACTACTAGTCATAATAGTTAGTCGACATTAGGGCTTAATAAGCTTGTTTCAAAATTTAATTATGGTTGCCTTCTATTCAATGCTTAATTATATAAATTTTAGTTGCTTGGCTAAAGGAAATCAGAATAGTATTTTATATTCTAGAGTTCTCTTAAAAATTGTTTGTTTTTTTTCACTTGCATATTTCCAGCTCGTATGGTACCATTTTACTATTTACCACGTAACTTATGTTACTCTGTGTTCTGGCCTATTAAAGATTTACAAAAAAATGGTAATCATTCTGCTTGTCATTTATTTTTTTACTCTTAACAACAATGATAAACTTAATAATAATGATAACGATTATTATCATTACTTTTGTTGTTATTATTTGTGCTAGTGTACAATTTCATCGAATCTAAAGCATAAGCTATTTGTATAGTTGGGGAGTAATCGTAGGAATGCCACTGATATCATTATCAAATTTCTACAACGATTTGGGTTCGAATTCTGGTGTACGTGATACGCGTAATTCGATATGATTGTAGGATGATGTATCTTTTGGAGATCAAAGAGATTGACAATAGTCAGTACATTCTCAGTTTAAAATGAAAAATAAGATTCAACAATGTTATGTAGAGTTATGACTTAGTTGTTTTGGCAAGCGACTTTCATAAATTCATTAACAACTTTTAAACTCGATACACCTAATTCGGTTTGGGAAATCAGATCGTAAATTTGATTGATCACTAAATGTAAACAGACAGTCTATTAAATATGTGATTTCCTTTCCTCTTATTGATTTCTATTATAGACTCATTGAGAGTGACTGCTTGTAATTAATCTTGATCGTGAATCAGGTATCTGATATGATGTGGTCTAGTCTGTGTTTAGTGGATCGTCCGAGTATCCAATCTAGCAGAGGTTAGGCGTTCGCGCGCAAGATGGAAGATCTTTGGTGGAAGTCTCACGTGCGCGATCGTGGTTACACACTGCCAGAGAGTCTCATACTAGGACGAAACGGTGGTCCAGTGCTTCCAAGTTTTCAGTGGTGGTCTAACATTGGTTGATTCATGATCTCAATCAAAACCTTTTAATTAGTATGTTTACTTTTTTTTCCTGCTAGCTAACTATAATAAGATGATTATATTTTTCACTTTTTTTCCCTATTATTTAGATAGTATTACAATTGATTATGTAGAACATGTAAAAAATCCTGAATTACGATCTTATTATTTATTACCATGGGAATCAGAAGATTTTTCCAATGAACCTATTGAACATACATACATTTTTACAGATGAATATTTTACAGCAAGTGAAACTAGTTCAAACATTTAATTTATATTATAATTTGAAGTTGGTGTTTTTTCTTGTTACATGATTATATTTTTGTATTTTATTAATGTCAAGTTAAATTATCCTTAAATACATGAGCCTCTTAAACGTATATCACCTTAACCGATAGATTTACTGATTAAACAATAACCGTAAGCAACGGTTATTTTGTTCAATGTAAGAATAATAACTAATTCTCTTATATACAGTTTAATTTAACCAGTTATACAAATAAGTTGCTGTTTCTAAGTTAATTTACGATACCTTAACGGTACGTTTTCGATTTTTATTTGAACACATAAATATTGGTACAAGGGGGCACCAAATATATATGCGCCACACAAAACAGTGAGAATGGGAAGAGAAAAAGAAGCTAAGGTGCGTATAAGAAAAAAAAGGAGGAAAACAATAACAACCACGGATTAATGTATGGTAGTGCAATAATAATAATAATGGGGGAAACGGAAGGGTACAACCAGAAATAATTCCTTCAGTTGAGGAAGTTACAATCACTTTCTATGAGGAAAGTAAGAGAAAGTTACAGCAGGATCGCCACTGGCTTCTATTCTGAGCCATATCTGATAACATCTCTAACCACTGTGTCGCACTATCTCAAGGACCCCAGCCAGGGAGTCGTGAAGGACCAAAAGAAGTCAGTCCTTTGCAGCTTTCTATCATACCACGACACCATGTCATACACTGACCACCTCTCCACATTTTCTAACCAGTCTCAGCGTCAGCAAACAATGCACGACGTGGAATTCTCTGATATGACATTCGTAGAACATGTCCAAGCCACTGAAGTCGATGTTTCAAGATGGTGACATTAACTGAATTATCGTCGCTGTGCC